CAATCTTAGATAATTTCCATTGCAGTAGATGTCATCTTTCTGTTCTTACACTCTAGAGTTTAAAAGTATATATTTATACAAGTCAAGCAATACCCCTGTTAGCTCCCCATTTGTCTCCCCCCCATTACATCATGATCTGTCAGCCATTAACATAGATTTCTATGGCTCCAGGCACCCTGTTTGCCACTCTGGCCTTCCTTTCCATTATGTAGTTATGCCCACTTTGTCTGGCATGACATTATGCCACCTGGCCTTTGCCATTACATTGATTGCTGTTGATCCAAGAGAGTCCATTTCCCCACCATCTCCCATCATCGAACCCAGCCTTCAGAAGACAGCCACCACTGAATTTCTCAAAGGCGCTGATGGGCTCATTAGGACTTCTTTTTTCTGTTTCAATGAAGGGAAGATTCTCTGGGCCATCCCAGGGAACATAGGCCAGTGGTGGATTCTCAGGTCTTATGATTCTAATATTCACACCTCTGAGCCTTCTGGTCCTTTTCTTCTTATTGTGCCGAAAAGAAGTTCTGGCATCTCACGTATTTACCGCCGGCTGTTGTCATTAAAGCAAGTACTATCTTGCAAGGTTCCTGCTTCAATGAGGTCATTGTCATCCCCAGGCCAAGAAGAGCTGTTTTCTTCTAAAAAGCGGAAGAGTTGCTTCTACCTGACAGAGGATTCAAGGAGATCAGGGTCCAGAGTTTCAGGTTTGTTTACCCAAAAGTCTCCATTCCAGGTCACCAGCTCCAATCCTTTCCTTCTTAGAGCTCTGACTTGGACATAAGACGTCTACATGGCTGCATATCTAGTCTCCTTTTCAGTTCTGTCACCTTATAATCAGCCCTCAAGCTTAATTTTCAGTGCAGTCTGTCTTGCAGATGTCAGGAGTGTCCTTAAAGTTTTCATTTCAAAGCATGCCTTACAGTGGTAGATACCTTTCCTGAGTCTATCATTTTCTCTTTGCAGTACCTCCGCTACCATCAGAAAAAGCCACTTAACCCCAAATGCAATGGCCATTTGATCTCATAAAGCCTTATTTTCCACCTGCATCTCATTCCAATTAGCAGCAGGTGCAGCTTTAGAAATTGTAATATCACTGTATGCCAGCTATGGCCCAGCAGTGGGGCCCCTATTATAGATGGAAGAGAACTTCAACTCCAACATCCCATCCTGAAGGTCTACTTTTTAGGACCATTTGTGGTAGCAATTATCCCTGTTCCTTAGGAAACAGAGTATTAAGCAATCATGCTGCCTGCTAATACTTTATTGAGGGATACAATCCTAGGGCAACAGACACAAGAGAAAAAGGAAATGAAGCAGGGAGGACGGAAGCTAATAGAAAGTTGTGCATTTTTGTGAGACAGGGTCTCATGATGTTGTCCAGGCTGTTCTTGAATTCCTGGGCTCAAGGGCTCCTCCTGCCTCAGCCTCCCAAGTAGCTAGGACTATAGAAGTGTGCCACCAAGTTGTAGATTATTGAGCTGGTCACATCCTTAGAAGCAAACACAGCCAGTTGCTCAATTGCACCTACTGGACATTCCCTGACGAGCCAAATGGAACCACTGCACTCCATATGTTGGGTCCCTTCCATCTGTTGTCCTTCTCTGGTCAAAATGTGCCCCAAGCTTTAACTCCCCTGTATTTCTGAGTAGATGTATCTGGCCCCTGTAGGCAGACCTCATGTGGCCATGGTGTGGGTTACCAACTGAATGAAAAGGGTGAGAGGATCCATGTCCTCCCTAGGCCACTCATGGCGTGAGAGGCCTGTGACAGAGCCTGGTCTTCACTCTAAGGGAGCTGACAGGAAGGTCAGCAAGATGTGGGGCCAGGTTGCAGGGAGTCGAAGGCCCATAGGATGTGACCAACTCAGCATTCCGCTGGAGGCTATATGATCAAACAGCAAACTGTTTATCATGAATGCAGGATGTGGGCAAACTCACACTGCCCTGCCACCAGAAGGATTGCTGAGGGTCCCTGGCGCAGGGCTCTTTGAAGTTATCTACTGGAAAATCTAGCGCCTATTACTCAAAGGATGCAGTCTCACAAGCCTGGTGTGAACCAGCCAGCCAACTGACAATTACTGGACAATCACACCCCCTCCCCTTTGCTATCTCTTTGGCCTAATAAATACAGATGGCTGCGTAAAGCTCAGGGCCCTTTTCCACTCGAGGTAAGGTGCCCCCGAGCCCTTCTTCCAAATATACTCCTTTGTCTCTTGCCTTTTATTCCCACATTTGCCCCCGCTTTGTTCAGTCCCCCTAGGTCCGTGCAGGCTACAAATGGCACCCCGAACAGCAACAGAATTGGGTGATCTACACCAGGTGACCCTCAAGAGGTGCATAGATTAGGTCCACTACAGCAATATGGAAGACCAGATTGGACAATGCAGGTTTTCCAATGCACAAAACTTACCTAAGTTCTCCCAAAGTCCTGAGCCTCTAGTTGGGGTTAGTATTTCTGACTCCCCGGTGAGCCACTGTGTGATTCTGGCTCAGGCACAAAGGTCTCTGAACTGTTCACACAGGACAATTACACTTACATCACAGAGTTGTGAGACCTGAATTAATATGTGGTGTAAATAACATTTGCAAGTGGCAAAAAACTCCGGATATAAACATCAGGGGCTGTTGTCAAATATAAAGATTGTGCTGAGCAAAATACCACGACTTGTTTCAGCTGGACAGGCATTAAAATATCCAGTGTTATTTTGACCTCAGCTGACCAATAGCGGCTTCATTTCTCCAGACTGTTGATGAGTCACCTAGAAAGTCCCTACCCCATCATCTTCTTCCCATCCTCCCTCCATCCTATCCCACCCCCAGTGAGATATCCTCTTGTTCTCTTTTCTACCCAGCATCAAGTGTTCTGTCTGGTCCCTAGCAGGTGCCCATGGAGGCTACATATGGAATGAAGGATTGAACAAATGTCTCCATTTCTTTTCTTTTCTTTTTTTCTTTTTTTTTTTTTTGTTAAGGAGTCTCGCTCTTTGGCCCAGGCTGCAGTGCAGTGGCACGATCTCGGTTCACTGTAAGCTCTGCCTCCCGGGTTCATGCCATTCTCCTGCCGCAGTCTCCCGAGCAGCTGGGACTACAGGTGCCTGCCACCGCGCCCGGCTAATTTTTTTGTATTTTTCGTAGAGACTAGGTTTCACCGTGTTAGCCAGGAGGGTCTGGATCTCCTGACCTCGTGATCCACCCGCCTCGGCCTCCCAAAGTACTGAGATTACAGGCGTGAGCCACCGCACCCAGCCCCACAAATGTTTCCATTTCTTTGCACAAAGGGTTACCAATGCTTGAGACGTTCCCCTGCTCCCAGCAAGGCACCCTCTCCTAGGAGCCTTTACTCAACCCGCCCTCCATTCCTCAGTCTTTCCCTTTCTCAGGGCAGCTGAGAGTGACATGCCAGTGCACAGTGCAGTTGTTGGTTTTATCCATCTCCCTGACAGGCCCCTGAATTCTTGCGGGGAAAGGAACAAGGCCTCATTCGCATTAGTCCCTGCATCTTGCTGGTTGAGGTGCAATCTGCAGCATTTATGTGGCAAAGAGCCTTGGGGCAGCGCTCTGGCATGAAGGAGGCCGCTAAGACATCGTTCTGAAAGCTGGCTCGCAAGGCGGTTTATACTCTGCAAACCAGCAGTTTATAGTGTGTGTTTATAGCGAGTGACTCAAGGGTGTCCAAATACTGGGAAAAGGTGCGCTCAGTAAATGTTTCTTCCATGCATGCGCCGCGGTATCTGACCCTCAGCTCTGTGTCTTAAGCCCCTGGTTCTCTCATCCAACCTAAAAATAGGATCGTCCAGGCCTTGAGGTCCTTCTGGAAGGCGCCCCCCATCAGTCACAGCGCTTACAAAGTGCTTCCACCACAAGAGCAGAGCGGCCGCGCCATGCCTGGGATGCTGCTAGGCACAGCTTGTGTGAAAGAGATGTAAGCAGGCTACTTCCCGAAGAACCGAAGAAACTGACTTGTTGATAATCTTGCCTCAAACAGAGGAGTTGGCAGACGGGTCAGGAAAAGCAGTGGTAGAAATGTTCTCCCCAGGGCCGCCACAGCTCCTTCCTTCCCAGCCTAGAGTTTCTGCTGCTGGGACTACAAAGGAGAGGACAAGGCCCTTGGCCGGGAGAGGGGCGGCCTGCACCTTTCAGCCCTGGGGCCCGGGAGAGCCTGCGGGGAGTGCGGCGGGGAGAGTCCTCAAGGAAGGAGCGCAAAAAGGGATCTCAAGTCAGTCCTCGCCACCTTTCCGCAGCCTCGGGAGAGGCTTGGGGGAAGCGCAGGCAAAGGCCAAAACCTCCTGGAACTGGGAATCCTCGGCCTCCAGGGTGAATAAATAATTAAGCGCCCAATACACAATAGCCTCGCTAGATGGAGACGAGGAATCACTGCAGCGGCGCTGGC